GGGAGATAAACCCCCCCCTGGGGGTTTTCAACCGGCGGTTTTTCCCGGGGTTTTGCCACCAGGGGGGTTCCCCCTGAGGGGGGGGGGGGGGGGGGGGGGGGCACGGAGAGCAAGGAAGTGTGCGTGTGTACCGCCGATGTAAGGTTTGCGCCGCCGCTATCCAAACACTAGGTCTGGCCTAGGTCAGACCAGGCGGGTTCTAGTGGCAAGAATTTGCTGCTTGTGCTTGATTCGGTAGGTGGGCGGGTGCCGGGGCAAGGACAGGGGTCGGATCTTGTTGCCGCATGTTTGTTTGCTCGGCGTGAAAGCTAAGTTGGTTGATGCTTTATTTTTTGTGGGAAACGTATACACTCCGGAGTTTGCAGAACTATTTATTTTCCTCACTGCTGGTTTTGCCAGAACCTTTGCACTGGATGAATAAGAGAAGCGAGGCCTGATGTTGGGACTAGAAAAGGCGATAGGCGCGGCCAACGAACCATCCATCCGCCTCCCGCTTGTTGACTGCTCTCCGACTCGCGGGCGCTCTGTAACACCCCCCCCCCCGGAACACTCAGACGAATAGATCCGTGGACCTCTCGACCGAGGGTTTCGAGGAGCCCCAGCATCAGGGCGATATCAACGCCAAGCACAACGGCAGGACCTGGGGTAGGCGCCACGCGTCGCGGTCCTCCTCCACCTCCAAGAACGCAGGGGAGATGCTGGAGCTGGAGGGGGAGGACAAGAGGACGCTAGAGAGAAGGATGCAGAGGGAGATCATCGCGGCGGAGGAGGCCGGGGGCGACGTGGATCGGCTGGTGATGAAGAGGCTGCTGGCGGGGGTGCGGGACTCGGGGCCCGACACCGCGTACAAGGCTCTTGCTTCGATAGAGGTGAGGCGGTGTGTGTGCGTGATGAGTTTGTGCCTCCGTCCCGTGCGTGTGTATGACTTTATTATTAGCACCGACCGCGCTTACCGGTTGACCGATGAAAAGACGTCAGTCTCAGTGCGGCTGATAACACAAAACACTTCTAAATGCCATTAACTAACTGTGTGTGTGTTTTTTGTTTATTGGTGTTTGCATCGACTGCACTAACCGCCTGTGAGTGAAAATGCGTCGTCAGTCTCAGCGCGACTGCAAACGGGAAACGGTTTTAAGGGCCATGAGGGAGCATCACGGGGGCACGCACCGCGACCGAACGACTCATCACACTTAGGACGATGCGACAAAATTCCATCTAGCACATCACCTCGCATCGTTGTTTTGTTTCTCTGTATACCTCCGTCTTTGTTTTATGTACTGTAGTTGAATCCCGCCGCCTTCTTCCCAACATATCTCGCGGCCGCATGCTACTGCCCTCCCTCACCTCCGCCACATGCTGCTGCACCCTCCCTCACTCACCCCCTCTCGCAACCACAGCTGTCTTCCTTCATCGACAAGGTGTCTAAGGGCACGCGGTTCGCGCAGCATCTGGACCACCTAGGCATCGACGTGAAGAGGCTGTCGCGGTCCTTGTCCGGCCTCACCGCCGGCGAGATGATGGAGGGGGTCAAGGACACCGCCGGCAAGGTCGGGGACGAGGCGCGGCGCCTGCGTACGGAGGCCGTGCGCGTGCAAAAGGTAGGGGGGCTGCACACGGACCGAATGATCGAATGATGGGGGGGGGGGGGGAAAAAGGGGGGGGCCGGGACAACTTCCT